CGAATACAATAACGAGCGCGCCTCCATGTTTTATTGTCCAGTGAAAAAGCAATTGACGCTCCGTGTACATGAATAAATATAAATGTGTATATAGCAGCGGCATACAGCCGCATGCAGTAGATGCCCGACGCGCGCGTCTATATAGTTATAAGCCGAGTTTATGTACATAAGAGCTAATCGTGAAAACGCTCACGCACACTCGTGTGTATATATACGTGCCGGGCGGCTACCTTGGCACGCTCAAGCTCTTGCTCTGTTTCTCTCTCTCTCTCTCTCTTTCTCTTTCTCTTTCTCTTTCATGAGAAGGCGAGTTTATATAGCAAATCCCGGGAATAGTTACACTGCATGTGCGCACCTACGTCTCTGTTGGCGCTACTGCAGTATATATAGTGATTGGCAGATTGCCGATCCACTCGGGAGCACTCCTCATTAAGACGTGGCCGAGACATTTTAGTTGTATATAAACCGATCGGAGCGCGCGTCTCGACTCGTAGCCAGCTATATACGACAAAGAAATTTCACGGATCCTACGACATATACTGCGAGATCCTTACCTACACGTACGTAGCAGCAGATCGAGTCACGTGTGTGTTTGTTCTTTTTTGTCGCGCTTCGTAGCTGCCGCTGCTGCCATCGTCGCCGCCGCCGCCGCCACCGCCGCCTCTGCAGACTGGCACATTTAAGCGAATGCCAAAAAACTCCAACTCGTATTTTTCCTTAATTCAGCTTCGAACGGGACTTTTTTCGGCTTCCTCGAGCCTTCAGGCCATGTTATTTTTCATCGTTAAAAGCTGTCTGAAAAATAAGCGGATAAATCTGTCGCATATAGCAAAACCAAGTGAAATTCGTCGATGTAGCCGGGCCGGGAGAGGACAGAAACACCGCAACTTGCCTTTTGGACTTTTTGAGCTTTCACGCGCGCGCTCGTGTGTCCGTATACACAGAGAACAAGACATTTACCAGCGGAATTAATGTTGCGCATTTCTGCAACACGCACCCAACTCTTGTTCCAGGCGCTTTGTGAATAGTTACTCGTAAGCCAGGCCAGCGAAAGAGTCGAAAAATTGACGCTGATACTGGGAATCACGGTTGAAAACGACGCTTTCGAGCAAGTCAACGATGAACTTTGACGTAGAAACACAGGCACACACACACGCATACAAAGCTATGCTACGAGGCAAAAGAAAAAGAAAAAATGATTGGCTGACTTTGAGCGCTAAAAGCCGTATTATGCTGTTTATTAAAATGTCTAGTGACAAGTCCATTGAATACGTCGGAATAAGTATTTTATCGAGCGCACGTCTAGTGGCTGTATATGATATGCGATTGAATGTGTATAGCGCGGGTGGGCAAAGTCAGCGAGGGAAGCTCGCGCGCAGGGGAGAAAACAAAGCGGGCAATTTGTCAGATGCGTCAGTCGCACCTACAGAGGCTCTACTCGGGCTAGAGCGTCGCTCCTGGTGGCTGCGACGGCTGCGACGGCTGCGACGGCTGCGACGTATACCATACATATATGTATAACTATAGAAATACGCGCACATCGCGTCGTTGTGTGCAGCAGCCGAGACTCGAGACCATATCGGGGCCGGTAACATTACATGGCTGCACGCGCGTCTATATCATATGTAGCCAAGGCGAGCTCGGGCAATGTATCTATGCGTGCGTATATACGCGTATACAGCATAGACTGCACAGCGCAGCATCGGAGCAGGCTATGTATATGTGCGCGCTTTCAATGTGTCAAATTCCTCACGTATGTGCGTAAATATTCGTAGGCTCGACTCGGCTAGATGGATCATGGGTTGCGCGCGCACTGCAGCACATGCATAGCACACCTCGTTCGCAGTCGCATGCGTGCAGCGCTACATAGCTATAAACACGCGTAGCGCTGCAGCTTTGTCATAGCGCGCGAGAACGAGAGAATAGGAGCAAGAGAGATGCGGAGAATGAGCCGCAAACGTCACGCGCCGCTCTTTCTCTCTCTCTCTCTCTCTGTGTTGTGGCTCGTTTTATATACGCACGCACAAAAGATGAATGAACGCACGGGAGAATCTCCGCTCGCATCCGCCCACCCGCGCCTCTTTGCAGCCACGAAACCTGTGCGTGTGCTCGTGTGTGCTTGTGCTCTCAGGCAGCAGCTCGCATTTACAGTATACACACGCTCTGCCCATAGACGCAACTTTCCGAGCACGATTCCCCGCCGAGTGTGCCTGTTTTTATACGCACACTGACCGCCACCATGGACTTTTGTTCTACCAACGAGAGCGAGAAATTCATTTTTTACCCTCTCAAATATAATATTATTTCACGAGGAATTTTCATTCTTCTACAACGTGCCGTTTTTTTGTCGTCCATTAAAAAAATTACGCGCATACATCGAGCGAGCGACAAAAGTAAATTTAACGAAAAAAAAAATAAATTGTCTACTCTAATTCACGCGCTCGAAATTAACTATTATAGATGCTATTAAGATTATATAAGCGACGGGCAGAATTACAATTATCAAAATCATTGGGCAAAAACACAATTAGTGGATCGCTTTGAAAAAGCTTCGAATTTCGTATCCAAATAAGTTATCTAAATGTATAACGTAGGTCGAGTTACAATGCCTTAAAAGTTTAATCACTCGTATTTGCACATTATGATTCTGTAGGTGGCGATCGTCGGGCAAATTCCAATTATGAATTTTCAATAAACGCGTGTACATTTGTGAGCGCGGCCGCACGTGCGGATCGTTGCGCCCGAGAGGCAAGCGATACACCGACAATATTTCATAAAAGTTGATCCGTTTTAGTATAAAGCGCAATAATCGTTACACACTCGTCGTATTTTCGAAAACGGCAACAATGCGCTAAAAGCGACAGCCTTATATAGGTGTAGTACTGCACGTTTGTGGGAGTAAAGTCAGCGAAGCGTTCGAAACGCGTCAGAGTTTCAGTGTGGCTATGTGCGTGTATACGTATATAGCATTGTGTTGTTTTTCCATGCTGGAATTTGTTCGGAAATGAGAACGTTGAAAAAGGAAAAAAAAACCAACGAAAAAAAAAAACGAATATGGGAAAACAGTCGGACACTGGACAGCGTTCGATATGCGTATACATGCAAGGGTTTTGTGCAGAGGACATTTTTTGGTTGTAATTGATAATATAGGTAGCTAGCTACTAGGACGTAGACACGCGACAAAGCCAAAGTAGAGCAATATTTACGAGAGCGAAAAGCAGAGAGGCACGAAGAGAAAGAGAAAACGAGGGATATACAAACAACACGAGCGAAGAGGAGAATGAATTGGATATGTATATTCACGTATACATAAGGCTGGCCAGCATTTGATGAATCCCTTTGCAGCTATACGGGTATCGCTAAAAGTGTTATGTATAAGTACATTGCGCAATGCGGATTACTTGAGCGAACCAGTCGAGTCTTACAGTGCACATTATAATACGCGCCTTCATTGTGTCGTACCTTTTTCTCTCCTCTTTCTTTTCTATTATATAATTTATTCTTTCACGTGCAAACTTTTTTTCAAACCATGTGGCCTTTCATTCTATAGCCCTGAGCATTTACGAGAACATCGCTGTATCTATACGTGCAATTTATGCTTAATTATGCTTGATTATGCATGCGGTTTTTCACATAAATTTTCTTCAACTCGAGGACATATTTCTACTAACTTTCATTGAACTGCCATTGAACTTCTTTCGCGAGTGTCACATTCATTGATGAATATTATAATGAACCGAGCTTTTTCTTCACTTTTTTCAATGCAATATTCAGTTATCGAGAAAATTAGTTTAATCTTTGAAAAATTTGGATTCTATTCGAGCGTAAATGTGTATAAATCAAAAATGTTGTTGTCTGTGAAAAGTTTCATCAACGTTCGGGCAATGTAAATGAAAATTAAACACCGACAACATATTATCTATATCTTTTCTAAAGTTTTGGCAGGCTTGAAATTATGATTAATTAATGTTTTGACGTCGGATCGCGTTTTCGGACTTTTCTAACTAGTCAATGAAAAGTTTAGCAATTCAAATAAATGCAAAATCTAACTTTGAATAGGGTGTCGTCACGCAATGTAGCGGCTGGTCCGAAATAAAGTCCATTTGAATGAAATCAATTTTGAGTCATTACAAAATGTTTTAATGAAACTGCAGAGCGTAGCGAACTGTTCCCAAAGCAATTGGCAATGATCTAGGGTAGCAATTAAAAGTGCATGGCTACGATTCGCTAGAAGAAAAAAAGGAAAAAGAAGAAGGACGACGACGATAAGGACGTCAATGGCGCGATATCGCGACGTTGTTCCAAAATCCAAGTAAATGCAAGGAAGAGGTGGCGGAGAAAAAGGGAGCTGCGAGTCGAGGTGAGCGGAGCCGAGAAGGGAGCAGATTTTCCAGACAGTTGCTAAGGCCTTTTCGGCTCTTAGCTGCGCTATCGAGTGGGTATATGCCGGGGATATAGCCGTCGGGTGGATGATCGTGGCCCGTGTACGTGTGTGCGACACACTGCGCCGCTACTGCCGAAGACTGCAGAATAGCAGACGACGAGGCGTCCGTATAGGCGAGCGGAAAGTGCAAGGCAGCTGGCGGCGGCGGCCACGGGAGGAGAAGTGCAGCAGCGAACCTCCTCCTCCTCCTCTCTGTACGGCCGCGCTCATGGCGCAGACTGGCGCGACTCTATCTATAGACGTACATGTGCGCCTGTATAATATGGCTGTGCTACGATCGCGAGTATATCGCTGCGGCTGTTGCGTGTACGTGTGAGTCGGCTTGGCGCGTGTGCGTCCGTGAGGCCGCGTGAGAGAGTGCGAGAGTGCAGCAGAGTGCAGACTGCACATATATACATGCGGAGAGCGAGCGAAGAGAGAGAGAGAGAGAGAGAGCAGTCAACTCGGCACTGTACTCCGTAGCCGCGTTTTTGGCGCTTGCGCAGACGGCCTCACCGGGCGCTGCTCTCGCGGCATCGCCGCCGCAGCAGCTTGAGCGCAGTGTCGCGTTGAACTTCTCGCCGAGCGCGTCGTCAGGTCAATATATATATACAAAATATAATACATATTTACACGTATATAGCACATATATATATGTACAAAAAATAGCTGCTAAATACACGTATAGATCAGCGTAATCGTGCGTCGTTGCGTGCGTGTGTTTACTCTTGGTGCAGTCGTCTTCTGCCAGTCCGCTATCTGTCCACCTGCCTAATCTGCCTGTCACATCGGCGCAGCGAGGCGACCTTTCCATTGCAGCAACGATTGCCGGAGCGTAACAAGAGACGAGGGAAAGCAGAATCCATCGCGAGAGAATCAGCTGTAGCGAATCGAGCAGACGTCGCGCGCGCGCGCGCCTTACCTATATAGAGTCTAGAATAGAAGTAGTGGTGCGCATCGTCGCCGCGAGTCTGCCCGCCGAGGAAAAACAAAGCTCCACATACGTAAGCTCTCCGATATATCTCGAGAGTCGTGCAATTGGAGAAACGTAGAAGCCCAGAAGAAGCCGCTTGCCTCCTCCTCGGCTCTCATCGATCTCTGCTCGTTTCTCGCCTCTCGCTCTCTATTTCTCTCGGCGATCGTAGACTCGGAGAGTCGGGAGCTTTGCGTCTGACTTAAACGACTGACACTACTTAGGCCAGAGCAGCGGCTCCGTTTAACGAGCTGCAGCCGCCGAGCCAAGCACGCACGAGCTCGTCTAACGACCCGCACAGGCCAACGACACGCAGCAGCGCCAGTAGCAACAGTAGCGCACGTTTTTCCGCAACAAGCTCGTTGAGAGGAGAGCGCGCGGCTACGCCTTTTAAATCGCTCGCTCGGCTACGCCGTCAGCTGATGAATTATACACGCTGGCTCGCAGTGCGTAGCATTGGAAATCGCAGCGGACCTGACTAGACTTGTACGATATACAAGCTCGTACACGTACCGTAACAACGCATACGAATCCACACTTACACTCTCACACACACACCCACACACACTGACACACATATACACAATCACACCATTACACTCGCACACGATAGACGCGCGCGTGCGTCTAGCCCCGAGTTAGTACATACACATGATTTAAAGCTGTGAGCGAAAAAAGTGCTACACAACGTACCCTCGAATTGTTCAGTGTTGGTGAGTCCACGTGCATTCAATCAGTGGATACATCGCTCAGTGATTCAGCCGATCCGTCACAAGAGTCTCATCTAATATAAGATCTAATAAAAAGCTTCAGTAAAATATATTGTGTGTTTTGTTTATTGTCCTGACAACGATTTTGTGCCGCTGCTCGTATTGCATAATACAAGTAGAAATATCTAATAATCTGGTTCCATGGTCGATCGCGCGTGTGAAATTGAATATCTTTCTCACCTCTCTATCTATCCATCTATTAGTCTCTATATCTATTAGTCTGTCTACCTATAGTCATCTATCTAGCTGTCTATATCTATCTGTGCTCTTAGCCGTTGAAATAAAGCAGTGCATAAGTATCTGTCGTTGAAAGTGTGCAGTGGTACTAGTCGGTTAATTGCCATCCCGAGTTCAAAGTGCCCGAGTAAAAGTGCAAACTAACAGAGCTGTGCTAGAGAGACAAAGCAAGACACGTGTGTAGAACAAGTCATCGAAAGAGGCGTCAGCGACTCGGCGAGACCCGGCAATTTTCTTCGCTAGGACGATTTTCGGCAACTCGTCAACGACGGAAATCGAAGCGATGGAAGCGCAAAGTCAAGACATCGTGGCGAGCGGATCGCCGCCCGAGGTGCCCAACGACCCAGGGTACGATGACCTCCCATTATTATCACGTGACACCCACATACATGAAAATAAACATACAACCGCAGACAAACAACGCGCGCGCCGTAAGACACGCGCGCCAGCCTCGACGTCGAGCCGTCTGTGTGTGTGTGTGTGTGTGCGCGCAACGTATTACGTAGTACACGACGCTCGCAGTTTTCAGCGCTATAGGTCGTCGAGTCGTGACTAAGAGACACAAAGTGCAGTAGAGCGGCGGCGGTTATAAGCTTACACAGAGACCGAGGCGAGCGAACGACCTATAGCTAGCTGCTCTTCCGCATGCATCACGCGACACGTGTTTTGCGTGTACGTCCGTCCGACTGTCTGGCCATCCATCCGTTCGTCGTCTATCTGTCTCATTGAGCACGCGATCACGTGCTCCTCGCCACGCGCTCGGCTAATTTACCGGAGCCGCGAGGCGCGCTCGTGGCTTTGTTGCGCCCCGGGCTGCGGATACCCCTCGCTGCAGCTTTGCTCGCCCTCGCAGAGCCCCTATACGACTCTGCGCTCTATAGCTCGCTAATAACGATAAAGGCTCCTTTAATCGTGGCCCTCGTGCCGCATTTACCTATATACGTAAGAGCCGCGAGCCAGACAAAGTTCGCGGAGCCGACGCGGACGCCCTCTTGGAATTGCCAAAGAAGGGCCTCGAGGCCGAGCAAAGCTGCAGCGAGGGATATCGAACTCGGTCCATGCATACATACAGTACGATTGACCCGCTTGCGGTCGTATCGTTTTGTTTTTCCTCCGCAAGGGTCGGCGCGCGCCTCGAGTTAGTTGGGTGCTGCGCGAGCTGTTGCTCGGGCTCCATAACCTCGCTCCATCGCCGAGAGTTGGCGAGTCGCTTTTCGCGCTGGCTGGCAGTAGCAGCAGCAGCAGCAGCAGCATCGGGTGGGTGCGGATGATCGGTGGCGCGGAAAGGAGGGTGGCTACGGCAAGCCAGCCAGGAGGTCGGGTCACGTGGGGGCTGGGAGGGCGAACGCTGCCGCGATCGAAGTTACGTGTACGTGCGCGCGCGCCTCGCTGCGACACGGCTGTTGCAGCTGCAGTTTTCGGGCGGGGAATGCAGACGTCGGGGAGCTTGCGGATCGCGACGGAGCTTGCAGCTACGCCGCCGAGCGAGTTGCCAACTGCCTCGACTATATATCATGCCTGTGTACGCAGGCGAGAGCTAGCTAGCGAGCCAGCCGACGTCTGCGCGTCGTGTACTATCTCCCTCTATCCCTCTCGCACAGCAGGCAGCTGCATCAGACACAAAGGGGCTCCCGAAGCTCCCTTCGGCCACTCACGTGGTCGATAAGCGGCTGCGCGCGCGCCGACCCGAGCGAAAGGGGAAAACGCCGGTTTGTTCGCGACGACGACGAGTAGGAGGAATGGCGCTACTCCCCCAGTCACTGCCGCGTTATCCCTGCAGTCTCTATTTTTCTCTCTCTCTCTCTCTCTCGCTCTCTCTCGTACACGCTCGGATGCTAGTCGTGCTCTTTATATGCATGCTGCGTGTAGCTTGGCGCTGTTACGGTCAAATTGTACAACGACGACGACGACGACTGTAGCGTCGAAAGAGCACGTGGCTGTCGAGCGAGATACGCACACGCACTACGAGCTACGCGACTTCCGCTGCTCGCTGACCTCGATGCGAGGATGCCCTCGCCCGGCTAGTCTGCGCTCGCCACTGCCACTGTAACCATGACTCGGCAGCGATTTCGGGAATGTCGTCGAAAACGCGCTCACTGCTTTCTCTCTCGCAGACGGGGGCTGCGCGTCTTTGGTCGCGTTAGCGAGCGCGCTCCACGCAAACCAGTGCTATTGATTCTAAGCTCGCTTTTCAAGGCTGCTGCCACTGCAGCTGCTCCTACTGCTGTGTTTGCGCCGTCGAGAATGCGCAAATATTTGCAGCCCCGCTGCCCTCGCGAGTTCAACTCGAGTCATCGGCCCTTCTCCGTTCGCCCGACATTTTTCAGCCGCGGACTCGCGACCCTTTCGTTCCTAGGCCTTTTCCTCCACTGTTTGATTTATTTTAAACAAGATTTGGGTTAGATGGAACGATACGATACGTCTGACTAAAGCAACTCTCTGTCTACTTAAAAAGTAGCATTTCGCCTCGCGGTCAATATTGATTTTTCTCCCCGAGTCGCGTTGAATAATCGACCCCGATACCTCAATAATTCGACTTTTAATAATTGCCTAATTTGCCGTATTATCGACTCGAATAGAACGAAAAAAGAAGAAAGATTATAGAAAGAGCCGAGCCGGCTTTGAATTAATTTCCAGCAGGACAGCGCACCGTACGAGGCGCTCATTATTCATCGTGACTTTTAATCTACTCACGTACACCCACGTGGCAAGTAAATGCATGCACGGGAGTTTTACGTGCCTGCCGTACTTACGGCTCTGCGTGTGGTATCATATCGTCAAAATGACCGAGCGTGAACGCGCAAAATGCGTCGGCTCGAGCTCTACATATATTATATATAATACCCAGTAAATACGCTACGCGAGAATCGATTAATTTTTAGAGCCGATTATCAATCAGACTCGATCGAAAAAAAGGAGAGCCGAGCGTCCTCCTCTTTTTTTTTCTTTTCTCGTTAGTCTTTATCTAATCGAACTCAGACGTGGAGTAGGTAAAAGAGCTACTCAACTCGAGTAGGACTATATATAGGCGCATTGCTTGGCGTAGAGGATAACGATCGATGTCGACGTCGGCGGCGGCGGCGGCCGTTTTGGCGACCACGTGACGAGGCGCTCTCTGCACCCACCATCCAGCGTTGCGATTCCGCAATGCCGCTATGTATAATACGTGTGCTTCTTCGCGCTATTGAAATCGCAGCCGTGAGAATCGAGTTACATCGCGCATTGTTTCGCATTGCTTCGCATTGCTTCGCATTGCTTCGCATTGTTTCGCATTGTTTCCCTCGCGCTCAGCGACGCCAAGCTGGTCAAAAAGTTCGATGACATGCGAGGCACTTATTTGTAATTCCTCGGATCGAATGCCTAATAGTCGTGGATGAATAACCAAACAAATATTTGTAAAAGTTTCGGTCAAATAAGTCGGAGCAAGCGATAAATCAATTCTCACTTTCGAGAGAAATCAGAGATACTACATCGAGTCTTATTCTTCATTTATTATGTCCGCGTGCACGGGCTTATGGGAAAAGAAAGAGAGTCGAGAGAAAAGAAAAAGAGAATTAAATAAACGAGTCGTGCGCGCAGGGCTGTGCAGGCGGGCGTATCGACGCGAAACTGAAGCAGAGCACAAATAGCAGTCGAGCATAATCGGTTAGTCACTAGTAGGCGAGCGAGCGGGCGCTATCATAAAGATGGAGAAGAGCACGAGAGGCGGCCGAGTCGAATGAAGTTGGGCCAACTTTTAAGTGCTTCGTTTCGTCGCTACTGCCTGGGCGAAGCAGCATCAGCTTTGAGAAATCCGCGCACACGCGCCTGCCGATGTAGCGTAATACTCTTTTTCCATTGCAGCCAGGCACAGTGCCGGCCTCGGGGATGCTATACTTATATATATAATATGTACGCGCGCAAAGCAGCTAGCAGAAGAAAAAGAGGGAAAAAGATGAATAAGAAAAGGACGAGGCCGCTGCTGTTGCTGCTGGCCCCCGTTGTACTACGCGGCTTGCTCTTTTCATACGATCGCCGAGAAACAAGTTTTCTTTCCAACTTGCTTCGCTTTTTTTCTTTTTTCTTTTCTTTTCTTTTTTTTTTTTTTTTTTTGGACCACCAGCTCTTCTCTTTGTTCGAGAAGTGAAAATTACGAGTTTATAATTCGTCTATGCTTTCGCATGCCCGAAGAATTTGAGCCGCACGAAAAGTTTAGGGCTTGTGAACGGTTTTGCGGTTTATCGAGAGAGCATTTCCGACTCGTTCAGCGATGAGAATGCCAGATGTTGGAGCTGAATCGAGCATTAAAAGGCGAAAGAACGAAACATCGGTGCGCAACGATGAAAAATGATTTAACCGAGTTAAGAACGCTACGAGCACGTCGCTCATAAACGTAGGCTAGATCGATGGAAATTGACGTATATGCTTCAACGGAATGAATGCGCAGCGATCCAATGATGGATATGGACACTCGTGTGCACTTTCGAATCGAAGACGGCCCACAGCTCTAACTGCGCGCGGCCATTAAACGCGCAAAAGTTCCATCATCGTGCGTAATATCATACGACGTGTGTAACGTTCAAGATTTGGCTCCTCGATACGAGCACTTTTCCTTGCGCCACTCCTATATCCTTTCAATACACATGTACATATACACACATGCATGCCAATACGTATAGACAGCCAAGAGCAACTGATTCAAGGGTTTCTTTTGGCTTTCTCGAGACACTGCGCAATGCTGACATGGTCGTCTTTTTTTTGCAGAAAAATGTTCATCGGGGGATTGTCTTGGCAGACTAGTCCAGGTAAGAATGCAGAGATTGTTACTGATTGCCACGTTTGTACTATAAGTAGTGGGTGGCTTCTTTATATCACGTAGGCTCTAAAGTAAAAAATGTAAGAAATGGAAAAAATAATTCAATAGTTTCAATTTCTATGCGACCACTGCAAATGTGCTCATTGTTGTTTGAGTTGGTTTAAGAGCCGCACTTTTCAATGATCGATCGAATTATTAATAGCTAATTCCAATTTGCCTAAGTTTATTTTATCGATTCGACTCTACGACCATTGGCTCGTGGCGCTCGACGAGCTCTCTCAATAAATCTTTGCAACGCCTGGTTTATGTATCTCATTGTGATGTCACGGTGAATAATAAACGAGCGATATTATTCGCGTACGTCGGTAGCTGACACTATATGCAATGCTCAGTCCACATTATGCTTCCATAATAAGCGTAAATTAAGAGCGAGTCTAGGCTCGCGGCTGCGATCGCACGCGCCTGGACTAGCTAATTATTGCGTACGAAGAGCGAATAAAATACGATAAAAGAAGCTTGCCGCGCTGATCGGTGCGTTATATCGCGTGCGCGCGCAGTTTGTAAACAAGTCGACGCCTCCGGCGCACCAAATACGTCTTTATTATTTCACCTATTGACAAGCTGCAAAGGAGGAACGAGGGGCGAAGCAGAGGCAAGAGAAGATAAGCCTGGTACATATAGAGCTCGAGCAGAGTTCGAGCTCGTGTGCGCTTTGGCTGATAAGCTCGTCGCGGCACGCAACGTCGTCGAGGCCGCCGCCGCCGCCGCCGCATCGTTTCGACAATAATTCCTTTGCCTCGCGTGTGAACGCACTCGCATACATATACACGTTTATTTACAGATGCGCACGCGTATTCGTGGGCGTATAAAAGCTAGCCAGATTTGAGCGACTCTAGCATAATAGCGCAAAGTTTCTAAATGTAGCGCGCAGAATTCCGTCTCGTGTGCGGTGGCGGCCGCGTAGGCGCGTCATCGTCTGATGTTGTACACACGTGCTTAATAAACGCTAACGACTTGGAGAGCAACACATGCACGCGCGCGAGCGGCCAGAGTAGACGCTTTGTAATCGTGCTGCTCGCGAGCTCTGCGCAAAAGTCAAGGTTGGCCACCGTTTTAGAGACGATGAAAAGCCGTGTTAAAATTTGATTTTACATGCATATAGTCGAGCCTATAGCCTACGCGATATACATATCTGATGTATTAGCGCGCGTCCAGAGCCCAACAGCTGTGCTTGCACCTAAGTGGCGCGCCGTCGCCTGCGCGTGTATATGTATTTATTATTCGGCCAGTAAGCTCATGAATCACGAGTATGCAGTGCGCGATTCAACTCGCCGGATGGCTAATGAACTGTTTACCTTATCTTTTATTAAATAATTATATAGGCGCTTGCACAAAGTCGGCCTGTGTAAACCGTACATCGTTGCCGGCATATTATATACGTATTGCTGCACGCAGAGTCCGGCGCGCAACTCGCCCGAGTACGCTTCACAAACATTTGCAAATGAATAACCATTTTGCTTGTCGTTAAATGTGCTGCTCTTCTATCCGCGTTTTCTGCCCGGCTCTCGACTCTCGACTCTCTCTCTCTCTCTCTCTCTCTCTCGTGTGTAGTACTTTTTACCATACACAGTTGGAATAATTATACCCGGCATTATAATATATACGCGCGAGTATATGAACGCGCGTGCGAGTTACGCGCCTGCAAGTGATTTAACGAGCTGCGTTCGATAGAAATATTCGGCCGTACTCATTCACGGGACGTCTTTTGCACGATTTGCTATGCTCGTGTTTTAATATTTATTTATCGTTTGTTTGTTTTTTTTTGTTTTTAATTACTTCGTTTATTATACTTTTTTTTTTTAAACGATTGAATTATTTGCACGGAAGGACATGAAAATACAGCTAAAAATTTGATCAAAATTCGAAATTAAAAAGGAAATTGCATAACTATAAATTAGAAAAGCATTTTATTAGGTAACATGTTTCATTGGCACGTGGTAATTAGGCACACGTACCGATTTACTGACGAGCGAGTGATTACTCTTCTACTATTTTTACAGTTGATTAAAATCTAGCAACCATAGGCGTATATTGAAAGTGTGCTTGACCTCAAAATATTTATGGATCATTTTTCGAAGAGTAATGTGCCACCTCATCATTGCCACTAAATTTTTCATCGACTTATTTATGCACGACAAAAAATAATGAGGGCTATTGGTTTTGAAGCGATCTGAAGAATGAAAAAAATCTTGATCTCTTTAATTGGCTAGTTTTCTGAACCACTTTAAATGGCAGTTACTTACACGTGTAGTAGCAAAAATTTAAATGAAAAATTTCCTAGTCAGATTTCGAGGCAAAGCAGTTTATAAACAAGGCTACTAGTGATAAACAAAGAGCTGCCTTATCGCACATAAGCAAAACAGAGAGAAAAAGAAATATTGGCTACAGGACAAAAGTAGGCATGATATGGGCAGAAAATTTAGGTTGAGCTTATGTAAGCTATGATGGTGCGCTTGAATAGTCGCCAAGCTTGTATGAGCGCGCCGGCTTTGGCCTTGGACCGAGGTGTCGCTTGCATCGGAGCTAAATGTATATATAATCTTTAGACGATTGATCTAATTTACTAGTCACAGAGCGATGAAAAATGAATATTGTGCGTATAGGCAGTCTGACCTGGAAGCAGATCTCATTACCAAGCTAACTTTACAATCAGACGGACATAACTACTTTTTTGACAGTAGAAAAGACGAAATATTAAAAAATTCATCCAAGTTGTCAAGAAAAGTAATCAAACGAATTGAGGCACGAGTATGATCGAATAAGATTTTTCTTCAGATATCCAAACGAATTTTCATTGAGACGGGTGTGGCAAAGTTGTCTCCTCGCAATTGGATAATCGCGTAATGCCTAATTTGCAACGTAATTTGTTGTACAAGAATATATAGCTTCATCAATGGAGCTCGAGCATGTATTCATTTTACTTGTATGAGTGACGACGTTACTTGTCGAAGTTTTCAATTGCACTTGTGTACGTTAATTGTGAAAAAAGGTCAAAGCTATATGTAGAGCATACTGAAATAATGACGCACATATATGTATCGTAATCATCATCATCATCAGCAGTGGCGTCGGTAATGGTGGCAACAACAACAAAAATAACAACAAAAAACATGAACAACAACAACAACAACAACAACAACAACAACAATCATTCGGCGAATGAAACAATAACAGTGTAGAATACTCGAAATTAACGAAGTCTTTCTCTATGCAGTCGTTGTGCGAATATGCCTGTATGAGTCGACGTAAGCACACATAACACATTGTGCGAGTTGACGCGCACACACAGAGACAAATATAGAGCGACGTACGTGAGCGCGCGCTTGTGAAGACGAATTGTCTTGCAAGCATTATTTCGCTCGCTCGCAAACGCGCGCCGCTGCACTCGACGAGCGGAATCGATCTGTACGTGAGCGCACAGATCTAGCCTATATTCCTACGTTGTGTGTGTGTGTGTGTGTGTGTGTGTGTGTGTGTGTGTGTGTGTATTGTGCACGAGCAGCGAAGGCAGTCCTCGTTGATGGAAAAGTGACACACTTTCCCGCGCGACGACGCTCGAGCCGCATCCTCTCGTCTGTGCATCGCAGCGTGCGCGTGCACAAGCCACAACGCGCACGACACCGAACTCGCTATGGATCTGCTGTAGACGATATCTCATAAATACAAGGCGTCTATGAAGATGTATCTGTGCGTTCGTACGTATGCGCGATCGTTAATAGGTGACTCGAGGCGCGCGCGCGCGAGAGCGACTCATTAAAAGAGAATCGAGCTCCGCCGAGCGCACGGAAAAGCAAAACAAGTAGGAGCGAGGCAGAACGTCGAGCGAGCGAGGAGGATGAAAAAATTATGTCATAATATGGCTCGAGCTAGGCGATCGCGCGCGCGCCACATGCTGCACACGACGCGTTTCTCTTTGATGTTACGCCATGTAGCGATGGCGGCTGCGGCAAACTGCATCGTGTACACTGCACGGCCCGTCGCTCGCTTTAATCATTTATTTGCGAGAGCTGCTCGCCGCCGAGCCAGCGGTATATACCTTCGATCTATGACGTATAACATGTTTACATGTTCTGTAAACATCGCACGCGATAAGCTACACTGCGCCGCGCACGATGCGCTCTTTTTTCTTTTCTCCATCGAGCGTGTAACGACGTGCGCCATATGTATAGCTATACTTACCATTATATACTTTGGCTAGCTCGTTCTCAGCATCAGCGACGAGTGATAATTATATGTTCATGTACCGCTGAGCTGATTCAATTTCTTACGTTTAACGCTGCGTTTAACGCTGATAATACAAAGCGACCTTTACCTGCAGCCGCCGAGATAGTAGCAATGGCTTTTAGCTTCTCTCGTCTATTCGTAAACTTCGACGTTTACCTTGGCTAGTCAGGCGTGGGTAATACGTCGAGCGAATTTCACGCCTGACGGATTTTCATCAGTTATTTTCAAAAACTCCTTCGTGCGTAGAGTGCCGAGAAACAAATCGTGCGCCTTTGTGCATTACTCGATTGTCAAAGGAGCGTCAGACGAGAGCGCGCGCAGCTCTGATTTGTACTTTCAGACCGACTCCGGGGATTCTTCGAGCGATAAGCTGCGACACGTTTTGCGCCTTTTCACGTCACAATACACCAGTTGACTGGCTCTTTTTTTTATTCTTTTTCTTTTTTTCTTCGCTGAAAACGAACGGACGATAAGTTAAAAGCTGTATAATCACCAGAGAGAAATTTTACGAAAAAAATAACAAACTCGATGAAAGGATCGAACGGACGCGTTCGGAGCAATACCGTGCCACGGACTGGAAAATTAGTGGGCAAAAAGTTTGTACGTGTAAATGCTGAATACGTAACGTACTGGGAGATTTTCGCTCGCTCCTAGCGTAGACTGTCTCGTTGATTTTGGTGTCTCTGCGTCAGGAAAAGAAAAGCAGCAACAGCAGCCGAGTCAGTAGCAGATTACGCACGTAATGCACGATGAGTCGAGTGTGTACATCGAGCCCGTAGCAACTCTGCGTTAGCTCAGTTGAGAGACGAAGCAGCAGCAACAGCAGAGAACAGAGAAGGAGGAGCTCATGACACGGGCTCATTAGCGTTTATTTGCCGTCGTTACATAAGTCATTCCGCGCGCAGTACCCGCGCGCTCCCTCTTCCTCTTCGTCCATTGTCTCTTGCTCTTTCTTTCTCGCTCCATGCAACACTGCT